AACCTCCCGTGGCACCTACGATAAAACACAAGCTCTTTCTCATGGCCCGGAAGGCCCTGTCTGGTCTTGCCCGCCCACCTCTCAGGCTCGGAAAAGTGCTCCACACACCGTAGGCAATCACTAGATATTTGCTGAAGGAATGAATGAGTGAGTGAATGAATGTCTTTCGGATTGGTTCTCGCTTCTCCTCTACCACCCCTATCTGGGTGTGGACACCACTGTCGCCCGACACAGCGTAAGTCACACTCCTAAAATTCTGTCTGTCCCGAAGCAGCCGGGAGTGATCCTGATAGCTTCCCTGCTGTCAAACCTCCGGTGCCTTCCCACTTCCTCGGAACAAATTCCAGACTCTTCTGTCCAGCGTTCGAGGCCCCCAGCACCTGTGCGCAGACCAGCGCAGTGGTGAGCGAGCCTCCAGGCGTGGGATGAGGGCCTGCAGTGGATGCCGGGAGGTTTCGGGGATACACAGGAATGGCGTTGAGTGACATTGTCCCCAAAGTCTACCTCTTTACAAGTCTTCCCCTGAAAACTTTAAGGAGAAAATCTCCACTGGGTAAGTGTACGCCTTTAACATCTCCGCAACACTTGTCAGTTTTCATTTTTAATAAAGGAAGAAAGAGCAGAGCTTTCCCTGGGGTAATTCCATCAGGCTGCAGCTCGAGAACACTGTTTTCTTTTCACTTTAATTTTGCAATCACCTTCTATTTACGGCAAATGATGCTGGTTTCCTGGTTATGTCAGTGACCTAAAGTTTAAAGAGAATGATGGCCCAGGGTCACGCCTGTAATCCCAGCACTTTGGGAGGCCAAGGCTGGAGGATGGCTTGAGCCCAGGAGTTCGAGGCTGCAGTGAGCTTGGATTGTGCCACCGTACTCCATCCAGCCTGGGTGACAGAGTGAGACCCTGTCTCTAAAACCATACAAATAAAAACATAAATAAATAGGATGATGATGAACTGATTTGAAGGAAAACGGTAAGTCGTGAAGTCACAGCGGTTCTAGGGCACAGAGAAGTCGAGGTGGCACGTGCGATGCCCAGGGCTGGGAAGTGCCGGCCTTCGTCCTCCCTCCCGCCCAGGCTTCCCGCTGCCTCCTCCGACTAGCAAGTTGGTTTGCATCTCAGCCTGCAGTGCGCCCGGCCTTGGCTCTGTCTGTCTCCTTGTCGCCTCTGAGTCCTCCTCCTTCTGAGTGGTCTTCCCCAGGGCTCAGTGATCTCTCCCTCGCTCCCCTCCCTCCAGCTGCCACTCTTGCTCCTTTGGCCCGTGGTAGCCTAGGGCGTCCCATTTTCCCTCCCCAGGTGAAACCCAACGCTCCAGGAGGCAGCGCCTTGTGGCATTGCTTCTTCACAATCCCAGGGTGCTGCGGCATGGGGCCTTGCCTGGTCACACGTGTCATATGATGAACTTCCCCCCATTCACGTGACTTCTGTGCCCACCACGCGGTGACGGAGTCATCAGAGTCCTCCTCAATCCCCTGTGGTGGCCCCTGGAATCGGACGACAGGCACTGGATCAGCTGTCACGCCAGCTGTGGGCCTCGGACAAGGCCCTTCTTCCTTCTGAGCCTGTTTCCTCACGTATGAAACAGAACAGCGAGAGTAACTGCCTCGGAGGGTTGTCGTGGGGATTCAGTCATGTCCAGCAATGTTTGGCAAAGAGAAAGAAGCCAGTACGTGTTGTCCTTGGTTGCATGACTTGGCTTCTAGCTCTGCCACCATCAAGCAGCCTCATGGGCTCTTGTGATCCAGGTCTCTTAGATCATGTCTTAGGATTTGCGTGTGACACACTGACTCGAGATACGTGGATCAAAGGTGATCTGGGTCCTAGGAACGAGGGGTAGGGCAGCCACACCCACGTGGCATTCACAGCACGGCGCTTTCTTTGGACCTTCAAGCCGCTTATCACCCTTGTCCCTTCCATGTCTGGTCCCCACTCTGAGCTATGGGGGTCCCCACTCTGAGCTATGGGGGTCCCCACTCTGAGCTATGGGGTTCCACTTGGGATGATGGGCTAAGAAGCTTCTAGTAGCATGAGTGTGGCAAACAACTTTTGTAGAGGAGGTAAAAAGAGAAGACTTCTCAGAAGTCCCAATTCTTGATCAGGCCACATGGGTTGGTAGAAGTAGCGTGGGCCCAGCGGCTCTCTAGCTGTGGGGCCCTGGTCAAGTTCTCTCACCTTCTGAACCTCAGTCTCATCATCTGTACAATGGGGATTTTGCTGCTCGTCACCCGAGCTGATCTTGTTTAGCAACTGAAATGGAAACCGAGCCCGACGCTCTGGCCGCCGGTGCTGAGGTTTGAGATTAACTGGGGCAAAGGGCTGATGAGCTGGAGGAGCCGGGGGCCGGAGGAATTTATGGCGGCCCAGGGTTTATGGTTCTGATATGCATTTATTAAGCACAATTTAGGACTGAAATAGCCTCCCCGGCCTCCACCCGCCGTGTCCATGCCACATGGACATGGCCTCCATTGTGACATTATCGGAAACATTTCCCGGTGCTGACGAGTGGAGGGACGGGACGGGGAGGGCAGGAGGGGCCCCGGGGACCAGGCAGGAAGCTGCCGGGTGCTCTCGAGGCTGGAGAACTCGGTGGTTGGCCTCTCACTGGAAAGAGGCTGCACGGAGAGCTCACTGTCAGCCCCGTGTAACGGTAGCTCTTGCAGCTACTACTGTGTCATTCCGCTTCATCCCGGCACTGTCCCCTGAGGGAGATATCATTCCCATTTTATAGACGAGGCTCAGAGAGGGGGACTGACCTGCCCAAGGTTGCATTGATCTCCAAGATGTGTGATTCCCAGACCAGAACTGCTGTCCTCTTCTCTCTGGGAGGAGCTGAAAGGGTCACCTGCTCCACCCTCATCCCTGGGTGCCAACATACCCAGGCAGGCCACGGTGCAGCCGTCACTGACTGCTGCCCTGTGCTGGTGAATGTTTAACAACCGGCTCTCCGGGAGAGAAAGCCCTAGTTCGTGTCACTGGCTGGCCCTCGTGGTGTCCATGCTCCCACCGTGGCCCATTTCAAACTAGTAAGGTGACATCGGCCAACATGGCATTGGGAAGAGAAGCTGACAGTGGGCTCTCACAAGCCAGCTACGAGCACATCCCCAAGTGAATATGAAGCTGTGGTGGACAATACGCAAGGCCACCTCGCTAGTCTAGCAGGGGAGGGGACCAAAGTAGCTCCAGACCTGCCCGGACAGCCTCAAGTGCCTCCCTTGCTTGTCTTCTTTTTTTGAAAAAACAACACTTGCTTTTATGAAATGTCCCCATGGCTACTCTTATCGCTGGTAGGTTCAGGTGACCCAGAAAAGGGTTCCATTGTCAAGCCTGATGGTGGACGACAGACTGTGGGATCCTCTTGCCATTTTTCCAGACTTTTCCATCACTTTCTTCCTCGTCCCTCCCCTCTTCAGGAGGGAGGCTCAGCTTTCGCTCCCCCCACATACTGAGTTCCTGGAGGTGAGACACCAGGGTTGGATGTCCGCCTCTGCCTCTCAAGGACAATCGCTTCCCCTTAGCCTCAGTCTCCCCATCTATAAAGTGGGAGGTAATCATGTCTAACCTGCTCACCTCTTGATGGGAAGATGAAGAAAATAATCATGGACATGAAAGCATTTTGTACACTATAAAGAACTACGAGATTACCCTCTTTCTTACTTCTAACACCCGAAAGAAAGAAAAGGCGCCCATCCAAGGACTTAGAAAACATATGTGTCATTTATTTTGTTTTATAAACTTTTGTTAAAACACACAAGAGTAAGAAATGTTCTTTGCTTCTTTGCCCCCTCGGGCGGCAGTGGCGGGAGCGCAGGGGTCAGCTCGGGGCCTAAGGACACTCACACCCACGGGGAGACGTGGGTGGGGCTGAAGGGACCCAGCCCACCTCCCGACCCGCTTGATGTGAGTTTCGCAATTCCTCTGAATCGGGGCGGATCACGGGAACACTGGGCAGACGCCACTGGCTTGGTCACCACAAGAAACAGAAGAGCACCCATTTCCAACTCTCTCTTCTCCACCCACTCTCAGGAGAGCCGCGTGGCTTCTAGAAGCTCCCAAGAGCTGCCTGAAGAAGGGGGTGTGTTGATGGAGGAATTATAGTGCCCACACTTGTCCCCAACAACCAATTTTGGTCCATCAGATTTTATGTTTTAGGACCACAACTCAGATAAGAAAAAAGAAAAAAACCGATGATTTTCCAATGTTGTGTCCTCAAGCTTAGAATCAGAAAAATAAACTTTTCTTTGTTTCTTGTTTCCTGAATTGTAATGAAGTTATCAAAGTGGAATGGATTTCTCCTCCAAAAAGGGTGGCTCTGGGGCAAAGGACCAACCCCTGCTACAAAAGATTGCTACCATTAAAGGCCACCATTCCCCCTCCACTCCATGGGGCATTCTTATCTCAACTTGGCTCGCATGACAGAGGCCTGAGCCACAGTGGTGGAGGAACAGAGTGGGAACGGCCACAACGTCCAGAATGGTTCCGGCGTCCCTGCCCCGTGGGCTTCTGCGGCACTGGAGTGAGGTGGCCGAGGGAGCCCTGGGAGCTCTGTGCAGGGGGCAGTGTCTCCTGGGACTGGGGACCTGGCTTGGTGGACCGGGGAAGGCCGATCCTGACAGCACGGGGGACGTGCAGATTTCTCCCTGACGCTCTGTGTCAATACTTCCCTGTGTCTCTTTTGCAGAAAGGAACAGTCACCAATGGTGGGACTTCCGGGCCCTGGGGTACCGCCGCCTCCGCTCAGGAGGGTCAGCCTCCTGTGGAGGGTAGGTGATCAGTCTAACAGTTCACTCTCCTGCCTAATCACACTCCAGCCCCAGGACACATCCCTTTGGTTACCACTGGCTGGTGGCATTTTCCAGACTGTCCCCAAAGCCTCCAAGATTCTGCATGGGTGAAGAGCTGGCTGCTCTACCCTGAGGTTTAATGTGTCCGGGTCACACCCAGGTCTTCTTAGCCCTCCCTGCCCCCACTCAAACTGTCCCCCTACCCCTTCCCCCCCAGGCTGCCCGCCAGATAGCTCTGTCTCCCAGGAACCAGCCCCTGCCACCCATCCCCTAGACTTGGGGAGCGAACAGAGAAAAGGGGTCAAGAGTCAGAAATTCTCCTTAGTATTTATCAACAAACAGGATTCTGGACCCTAAGTGGATTTTGGTGCCACCTCAGGCCAATCTTAGTCCCAGGAGTTGGCCGGGCTCCTGGGAACAAGGAGCCTTTGGTTCCTGAGGCTGGTGAAAGGGCCAGGAAGTCCCTCAATTCGATCACAGGGAGGTCAGAGGGGCCCTTTTGGAGAAGATGTTCAGATACTGTGATTAAGAGCTCCTAGTCTAGGGAGACCTGGGTTCAAGTCCTGACTTGGCCACTTACCAGCTGCATGAGTTTCAGAAAAAGTCTCGTCACCTCTTAGAACCCAACTTCACCGTCTGTAACACTCTCCATTTACTGGGGAGGAATCCATGAGACCATGCATGGCAAATGCCTTAATACAGTGCCCGGGAGTTAGGAAGAGCTTGAGACGGGGTCTGGAGGACAATTCCTCCCTGATGTCACTCTGGTCTGAGGGTTCATCCAACCCCAAGCCGTGTCACTCTCACCCGCATCACATCATCAGCCCCATTGGACCTCCCTGCTCCCTCCCTGCCACCCCGCCTTGGTGGGACTGCTGTATTCATCTGTGAAAGCCGGCTCACTGCGCATGTCTCCCCAGCTGCTCGGGGCCTGAGTCTGGCATTCCAGGCCCAGCAGGCCCTGTCTCTGTGCCGGATCTCTCCCATGACATTCTTCCTACCTCCAGGCCTTTGTCCAGGCTGTTCTTCGGGATGTCCCATCTTGCCTGCTCTACCAGCCAGAATCCCACTCTTCCTCAAAGGCCTGGTGCGTGGTCTGCCTCTTCCCACTACTTTCTCTGACGGCTCCAGCCCTCCCTCCAAGCTCCTGCTGCAGCTGTCAACCGTGGCTTGCTCTCTCGTGTGGCAAGCCTAAGGCCACCATCACTCTGAAGACCAACCAAGTCCCTGAAGAAGGGAGATGCACTGGGGCTGGAGGGGGAGGGATGGAGTCTCCTGCACTCTGCCTAGCCCCAGTCTGGGACTACCAGATGTTCCAGGAATGACTGAGGGATCATTTCTAAGTGTCCCCCAGCCTCTGGAGAGGTGGCCCTGGAGAAGACGGGATGGCCAAGGAGGTGGGTGGAGGGAGAGGGGTGTTGGAGGTGGGGGCAGCAGAAGAGGGAGGAGTGAGGTGCTCTGTGCCTGGACACCACGACCGGGACTGGGGGGGAAGCAGCACCAGTCTGGGGTGGAGGGAGCTGGTTTAAGCAGGGCCCCCGATCATCTCCAGACGGCCGTCCCTCCGGGGTGACGTTGGGGGTAGGTATGGACGAAGGTGAAGGCAGTGGCTTCAACATGAGAAAAGTTGTCCAAGGCAGCAGAGGACTTTCCAGCTGGGGTCTCCCCAAGTCAAAGCCGTGTCTCCCAGAGCAGGGCGTCAAGGGTGGCAGTGGGCTGTGGCCATCAGCCATGTGCTTGGGCCCTTCACCCTCTCCATTACCACTCTGGGGCTGGCCCTGGTGTCACGCCTTCCTTTGCTGAGACCAAGTGGCCACCAGGCAGGCTCCGAGGGGGGTGGGGGGAGCCAGCAGAGCCCCCGACCCCCAGCGGCTTGCTAGATGACTTCCTGCTTGGTGATGGTCGGCTGCGGGATGGCGGACGGGGGCTTGACGATTGTGGCGATGGCTCCCGGCAGGAGCTTGTAGGGCTCCGACCCCGAGCCACCTGGCGGTGAGGGCTGTGGAGTCTCGGGGGTGGCTGGAAGGACAAAGACAGAGGGGGGCTGCTCAGAACTCAGCCCCTGGGGGAGGTAAATGAAGAGCCCTTGGAAAGCTCTTCCCTCCCCACCCCCCACCCCCAGACTTGGTTTCCTCTGCTACAAAAGGGGAGCATGAAACCAGATAATCCCTAAGGTCTCTTATAGTGCAAACGAGGCATGGAAGATCCCACCACCCGTCTCCTCCACCATTTGATATGGAGTCTTGGGCTGCTTCTCCCAAACCAGGGCCTAGGCCCGACTGAGCCAAGGGCGATGGGACAGGTGACTCTTTCTTGCGGGAGGCAGCAGTTGATGAGGCCTGGGGCTAAATGGCTCAAAAAATACCCATCTCTTTAGGAGATGAGTCACAGAAACTAATTGGCCCCACCCTCACCACAGGTTCGGAGAGTAACTTTGACCCAATTGGCCAACTTCATTCAATGGACAACTTTCCCCCTCTGTGCGACATTCTAAAATAGAATTTAAAAAATGGACAACTTTCCCAAAGAACGATCGCAATGAAATGCCATCTCAGCTCAGGGGACCACCTCCTCCCATTGCTAATCTTATTCTTTGAAGAGTTTTGCCTGACGACACTCACACTTTGGAGATTTCTCTTCAGAGGATGGGCTGGCCCAGCGACATCCTGACGCAATGGACAGGCTCACCTAGTGGTCTAATGAGTAGCCTTACCCAGCTGGGCAGCCTTACTTCAGGGAAGACTTTTCTACTGGACGATGTCACCTGGTGGAATTCTCACCCAGTGACCATCTTCACCCAGTGAGGAACCTCATCCGGTGGGCTGCCTCGCCCCAGGGACAGTTCCCTTCAGCAGAGGCTATCAGCCACCTCGCTGGACGGACAGCCTCACCCCTCACTGCCTACCCCGGAGCACAGAGAAGCGTTACCTCCTGCGCCTGCCTTCTAGACTCAACCTGCTCCCGCCTCCTCTCTCACGCCCCCCGTCCTCACCCCTTGCCCCAGGGTGCCCACCTGCCTGCCCCCTGGGTCGGGGCCACTCACACATCTGTCCATTGCTGAGGTGAGCGGGCATCGTGTTGGCAACAATGACGTTGGTGCCCATGTGCTCCTGCATCAGGTGAGGGTGCAGGGGGTGGTGGGCATGGGGGGCGTCACTGGAGGACCCTGAAGGTAGAGAGGGGGTCAGTCAGGAGGGAGTCAGGGAGGAGGACCACAGGCCCTAGGCACCATCTTCCCAGTGTGGCCAATCACCCCTCACCCACCCCGCACTGAGCGTGCCTGTCGGGGTACCTGGGCCAGTAGACCAGGGCTGGCTGTCCCTTTCTACAGCCTTAACGAGGGTATTAAGAGGACCCAGCAAACCAAGAGGACAAAAGTGCCTTGAAAGAAACAAGGAGCATATAAGGAAGCTCTGAGATCATTTAAATATTACAATGAGTCGTGCGCCGGTTGTATAGTAATAGACTGGATTTAATCAACGGCTCTCAGCTCCTTGCCACGAAAGTCCTTCAACCATTTGGTCCAACTCACCTTTCAGCCTCGTCCCCCCGTCTCTGCTTTAGCCAACCTGACCTACTCAGAGCGTCCATGCGCCTCCTGCGTTTGCCCGAGTCATTGCCGCGTCCATCAGAGCTGCTTTCTCCAGCCCCACGCCCGTAATCCCAATCCCAGATCCGATATTTCCTCCTCTTGGAAGCCTCTCCTCAGTCTCCCCACCCTCCTTCCTCTCCTTCCTGGGGGTTCTCCGGCTAATTTGTCTGCAACACAACTTTTGCGGACAACCCCTTCTTCCGTCTATGAGCATGACAATTACACGTGTACTTTTCTTCTTTCTTTGAGTGCCTAGCAAGGGGTCTGGAACACAGTAACTGCTTCGAAAAACATGTCAGGGCGTGATAACACCGTATAGGGTATGGTGTTTAGTAATAGGCCACAGCCTGTGATATGACAATGATGGAATGTCAAGCTTGGCAAGAGGCCTCTGAAGTCCATCTTTCAAGGATAACTGATAATTATCAGGCACCCATCATGTGCCAGGTACTATTTTATATAGCGCTTTTCATATTTTGCATAATTTAATCCTCACAAAAATCCTACAGGGCAGATACCGCTATTATCCCACTCTACACATGCGATCGCAGGGCCCAGGGAGAGTGTCTTACCCAAGTTTATCTGGCAACAGACCACAAGCCCCTGACCCCGATCTCAGTGGCACCTGGTTCGTAATTAGCCCATATTCACGGGGTCAGAGTGAGAACGAAATGAGCGGCCACATGACAGCACTTCACAACTGGGGGTGACTTTGGCCCATCAGGAGACATTTGATGTTTTTGGGAAAAGTGCCACTGGTGTCTCACGGTGAGAGGCCAGGGATGCAGACAAACAATGCACAGAGCAGAATCATCCAGTCCCAAATATCACCAGTGCTGAGGGCGAGAAACCTTGCCTTTGGCCATGACATCGCCAGTGACCGCATCACCTCCGACATCTCGAGTGCCAGCACCCTCACTGTGGTTTTGCCTCCTGTTCTCCCCGATTCCTTATCTAGTGCCATCGCTGCAGAACTTCTTCCACCCTGCTGAGGGGCAGCTCCCTGACCCCCGCTTTCCACTCTCGATCACCCCATCCTCACTGCTCTTTGAGCACAGACAAGCTTCCACGCACCGTCATTCTAGTCACTGCCTTGCAATCCCCCTCCTGGCTTCTCTGCACAGTGTCCCCCTCCCAGCTCTCTGACACTGCTCCCACACAACAGCCGAGGGCCCCCAAGTTGCCCATGCAATGGGCACCTCCCTCTCTCTTCCCCTCCCCTTTTCCCACCCCTTCCCCACCTTTCTCTCTCTCTGCAGAGTTTCACACCATGCAATGCTCTGTCCTTCTTAAAATACGCTCTTCTCTTGAATTCTGGAACTTCCCTGGCTAGTCTTCCCCCACTGCCTCCACGGCAACCCCCTCCTGTCCTGACTTGCCGAGGCTGGAAGTCGTGGCCACGGAGCTGCCTTCCATCTGGTGTCGGAGCAAGACCCGTGCCTTCGACTGCCTCCTTGATAGCTCGACTGGGGTATCTAACAGTCATCTCGTGCTTAACGGAAGCAAGACAGTTCTCTCGGGTCACCCTCGCCACCACCCCATCCCCATTCCTCAGTCTTCCCCATCGCAGTAATCGTTCCGTCATTTCTGCTACTTGGAGCAAAAATGTAGACTTTGTCCTCGACTCTTCCTCCTCCCCTCGCTGCCCACATCTGACCCAGCAGCAAACGAACCCCGTGGCTTCTTCCTCCAAGCGGAGGAAGTTTCTCTCTGCGTCTCCATTTCCACGGTCCGAGCCTCCTGTATCCTTCTCTCGGCTGCAGAAGCCACATCCTCGGGCGTCTCCACTTTGCCCCTGAACGTCACTCTCTACCCAATAACCAGAGTGGTTTGTTTAAAACATTAGCCTGATTCTTCACTCTTTTTGCAATAGTTGCAATGAAACTAAAATTCAGATTTCTGACCTTGGCTTACAAAGCCCTGAGTTTCTGATTTGGTTTCTGCCCAGTCTGCGTCATCACCCCTTATATCTTTCCCGCCTCACTACCTTGTCCTTCTTTTTCAAACACACAAACCCCTCCTGCCTCAGGGCCTTGACCTAGTTACTTCTGCTTGGAGTATTCTTCTCTTGGCTTTTAAATCTTCCATTTCCTTTTGTCCATCAGTCCTTAGCACAAAAGTCGCCACTTCAGAGGGGTCTCCCACCTATCTAAAGAGGCCCTCTCGTCAGTTAAGCTCTGTTTATTTCCTGTTTATCTCAATAGCTGCTGTTACCCTCTTTATCATACACCTGGCTATTGTCTGTTCCCACGGGCTTTTATACACACACACACACACACACACACGCACACGCACACACCCCGCATGCACACGTGCAACCTCCGGGTGGGCAAAGACCTTGTTCTTTGCTGAATCTCCACCAGTGACAACAGTGGCTGCCACATTGCTAGGCTCTCAGTGGCTGAACAAAGGGTCCATTGTCCCTGTCCCCATTTTTATGATGGAAAAACTGAGGCACAAGATTAAGCAACTTTCCCAAAGCCACACAGTGGGGGAACAAATGGCACTGAGAGAGGTGAGCTCAGGCCTGTGGGAGGCTTGTCTCCTGGTGGATCTCCCAGCACCCCCTGCCCCTCTGGGACCGGGCACGGACCTCCCAGCAGCATCTCCTGCAGCAGGTTGTCGATCTTGGCCATGCCGAAGAGCTTGATGAACTGGATCTGCTCGATCATCTGCCAGGTGATGCTCTGCAGCGTGGGCAGCAGCAGCAGCAGCTCGCCGAAGCGGCCGCGCGAGTCGTACTGGCGGTCGTTGATGTAGTCCTCCAAGCTCACCTGCACCTGGGAACGCAGCCGCTTGATCTTGCCCGGGTCGCTCAGCCCCTTGGCATCTGCAATGGAAAGGGGTGGGCTAGGGAGGCCAGCTGGATGTGGGCAGCCAGATGTCCCATTTGCCATTTTAAATCCACCACCCAGTACCACGCATAGTGGATATTTATTGAATAGATAATGGGGGCAAGGGGATGGGTGGATGAATGGAAGGATGAATGAAAAAACCAGTGCATAAATTCTAGATCCTCAATCTGGAAGGAAACTCAAGAGCTCATCCAATACTTTAATCTCAACCTTCATGGAGATGATATGTTTATTTCCTCTTATATGAACAAGGAGAGTGGCTGAAAGAGAATTCACCCACACTCCCAGTGAGCTCTCTCTACACTGAACTATGTTTGTGCATTTTTAGTCATTCGGTTGACAAACATTTATCAAGCACTGGCTGGGTGATCCAGCGCAAGGGTCACCTACATGCCAGGTCCTGGACTAAGTACCCTGCCCCTTTGGGTTGCTGGAGGTTGCTGCCTCTGACTCAGCACCAGTAATCCTGCTCATTTGACAGAGCGATTCAACCTGTCCAGGCCCATGCGGAGCACTGTGGGGGATACAGCCCGGGCCAGGCTCTAGAGGAAACCAGGAGTAGAAATCTCACCTCCCGGAATGGGGACTAGCATGTGGTAGGTAAGGACATGGACTTGAGAGAGAGAAAGATAGATAGGGACTGATAGGTATAGTCTGAAGTTCAAATCCAAGCTCTGACATTTCCTGGTTGTGGGACCTTGAGCAAGTTAATTGATTTCCCCATGCCTCAGTTTCCTTATCTGCAAAGTGGAGATAATAATAATCCCTACTTCATAGGTACGTGTAGTAAGATAACCCACATCAAGTTTTGCAAATGGTGTTTAGTGAGCATTCAGTCAAGGGCGGGCCTTCCTCTTCATTACCGAACTGCTAGAGACAATCTCTATGCAGACGGGGCCCTGGCGCTGAGGACGGTGCCTGGCACACAGTAGGTCCTCTCTAACATTTAAGGGAGGAAGCAGGCAAGCCTCCAGGGCTGAGGCAGCTTGAAGTAGTGAAATGAGTGCGGGCTGTGCACAAGGATGTGACTACAGTGACATTCGACATTCGGTGAAGCAGCAGGTGCGAAAGTCAGTACCCAAGGAGGGCGGAGAGGAGAGTCAGGAGCCAAAGGGAAGTGTAGGGTGCCTCCTCCCCACTCGGCCCAGTGAATGGTTGGGAGATGCTGTCTGCAGTTGATAGCACGAGAAATAAAGGCATAAAAGCACATAACCCAAAGTTGCAAAGGTAGTCAACACAGGCACAAAAATAACAATAAAAATATGTTAAGAGGACGAGGAGAAAACGTAGGAATAGTGATGAAGTTGAGCAAAACCCTCAGCTATCCTAGGAGGAAAGACACTATCTAAAATGGGTAAATCAAGAAATAGAAGGCTTAGTATTTGACTGAGAACTGTGGAGGTAACTGCCAGAAAACATAGTTTAAAGAATCAGAAGTGGCCGGGCGAGGTGGCTTATGCCTATAATCCTAGCACTCTGGGAGGCCGAGGCAGGAGTTCAAAACCAGCCTGAGCAAGAGCGAGACCCCATCTCTACTAAAAATAGAAAGAAATTAATTGGCTAACTAAAACTATACAGAAAAAATTAGCTGGGCCTGGTGGCACATTCCTTTAGTCCCAGCTACTCGGGAGGCTGAGGCAGTAGGATCGCTTGAGCCCAGGAGTTTGAGGTTGCTGTGAGCTAGGCTGACGCCACGGCACTCTAGCCTGAGCAAGAGTGAGTGAGACTCTGTCTCATAAAAAAAGGACCAGAAGTGCTTTCGGGGAACAGCCCTCATCCAGGAGCAGTAGGGTAGGGTGGGGAGAACTGTTTGCATTTTAAGTTTGTGTAGGCATTATTTTGATAAAATTTTTTTTTTTGATATTTCAAAAGATTTTAATTAAGTGCCCATGAGATAACATTTATGATAGTGAAATGGCTAGACATTTGAAAGATAACCATGCTAATTTTATCAATATCTATAGGAAACCCTAATGCCACTTGGATAGTAAATTAGTTTTTTTTTTTTATTTTTTTTTTATTTTGGCATATTATGGGGGTACAGATTCCAAGGTTTCAATAAATGCCCATTTCCCCCCCTCCCCCCAAAAGTCTGAGTCTCCATCATGACCATCCCCCAGATGGTGCACATCTCACTCACCATGTATGTATATACCCGCCCCCCTCCCCCCTCCCACCTGCCCAATACCCTATTACTGTAGCACCTATGTGTCCACTTAGGTGCTACTCAGTTAATACCAGTTTGCTGGAGAATATATCTGGTGCTTGTTTTTCCATTCTTGGGATACTTCACTTAGTAGTATGGGTTCCAGCTCTAACCAGGAAAATATAAGATGTGCTATATCACCATTGTTTCTTAGAGCTGAATAGTACTCCATGGTGTACATATACCACATTTTATTAATCCATTCTTGGATTGATGGGCACTTGGGCTGTTTCCACATGATAAAATTTTTTGAAGAAAAGAAGCAAAGATTGAGCTCCAAGTCAAGGCTAAGTGAAAAAAAAAAAAGATGAAAGAAAAGAAGGAAGGTAGGAGATGAGAATGAAGAAAGGAGGGAGGAAAGGAAAGGAGAGAAAGACAACACCAGGCTGGCTTGGGCGATGCACAGGCAATATATGTAACCGAAATGTTTGTACCCCTATAATATTCTGAAATTTAAAAAATGAAAAAAAAAAGAATTAAAAAAAAAAAAGAAAAGTAAACACCCAAGCCTTTGGAGTCGGTGTGTCCTGTCGAGTCAAATCATGTCTCTGAGCTTCGGTGTGCCCCTCTGTTCAATGTGGCCGATGGTGACAACCCTGCTGGCTGTCGCTAACCATGAGACGGGGCTGTGAGCCCAGTGCACACGACCCAGGAGGAGAAGCCTGGCCGAGGGTCTGGACAGTCAGAGATGGGTGAGGAGGTGTGGCCTGTGTTTACCTGGGTCAAAGAAGATGATGGCTTTGAGGCAGGCGTACTCGTTGTCATCGATCTGCAGCTCCTGGAAGGGCAGCACCAGCTCGTCCAGGATGCGCACGGACACCCGGTTCATCTCCGCCAGTTCCGGGCAGTGCCGGGGCACGATGTAGTCATTGCCTGGAGGGGTTGGGAGGGAGAGACTCGGCAGTCACTTTAGGTTGACACCCCTCCTCTAGTTTTGTCTCTCCAGTTGGTAACGCAGCTGGTGCCCGTGGGAAGAGGACCTCCAGGGATTGTCACGCCCATTTTACGGACGAGAAGGCTGAGGCCCAGATTAAGAGGATGAGCTGCCTGAAGTCATCAGGCTGAGTTTGGAACTTGGTTCTCTAGGACCCCCGGGCTCCTTTTACCAACACGACTCACACGATTGATGACATTCAAAGGCCACTTGGGAGGCACCAAAGCATCAAAGTTAAGGGACCAGGTTCTGGAGCTGGACTGCCCTGGTTGACAGGCTTCACCACTTACATCTGGTTATATTTGGATAAGTTACTTAACCTCCCTGGGACTCGGTTTTATCTATAAAATGGGGATAAATAATAGAGCTTCCTTTAGAGAGTTGTTGTTATTTTTATTTTATTTATTTATATATTTTTTTGAGACAGAGTCTCGCTTTGTTGCCCAGGCTAGAGTGAGTGCCGTGGCATCAGCCTAGCTCACAGCAACCTCAAACTCCTGGGCTCAGGCAATCCTACTGCCTCAGCCTCCCGAGTAGCTGGGACTACAGGCATGTGCCACCATGCCCGGCTAATTTTTTCTATAAATATCAGTTGGCCAATTAACTTCTTTCTATTTATAGTAGAGACGGGGTCTCGCTCTTGCTCAGGCTGGTTTTGAACTTCTGACCTCGAGCAATCCTCCCGCCTCGGCCTCCCAGAGAGCTAGGATTACAGGCGTGAGCCACTGCACCCGGCCAAGTTGTTGTATTTTTAAAAGAAGTAATATCTGAAAAGCAGTTAGCATAGTCTCTGACATATCATGTGTGCTTCATAAGCATTTAAAATAATAAATATGTCATGAAGGCACAGGTAACATAGGCTGGGGCTTTGTGCCATTTCTGGCCACCTCTTGCTCCTACTCCAGAAAGAATATCAGAATGATGGGTAATTCCAGGGATGACCCTCATTGCGCTCTAGCCTTAGTGCTGGGGGGATTGTATTCCTTGCATCCACCTTTCCTTGCATCTGGGTGGGGTATCCAGCTGAGAACTGAGTCCTGGAGTCCTCCATTCGCAAGCCTGAGGACAAGGCCGCTCTTGGCCTGTCTCCCTCACCCCCTCACCCCTGCATGCCCCTGTGCAAATCTCCCTTGCTGAGCGTGCGCCACGCTGGGCATGCCCTCCGCAGAGCCCTGGCTGGGCAGGCGGCGTCCTCACCTAGGAGCAGCACATCCTTGAACATCATGGATCGCTTGGTGGCTCCGAGTAGCAGGTGCTCTCCGGCGTGGGCTCTGAGCAGGGCCACCTTGAAGGGAGAAGGGACAGCGTCTGGCATCTGCGCCTTGGGGAGGCTGCTCCTAGCCAACTCAATGACCGTGGGAATGTCAGCTTATTGTTCCCCTCTGCCTCTGCCTGCCTGAACTATAAAATAGCAACCATAAAACTGCAGCCTTCCTCCCATAACTGATAAAACTAGGGACCTGGAAAGGATTTGGCAGAAACGTGGAAGGGGAAAGAACATGCACTCAGGGCTAGGAGACCTTGTGCTGACTCTGGCTTTGAACTGCTGTGTCCTTGGGCAAGCAGCTGCTCCCCCCAGACCCCCTCTGTGCCTGTGAAACCAGAAGCAACACTTTGTGTGCATATTTTTGAGATTCTCAAATGGGACTATGACCCCCAAAAGTTTTAAAACCATAAGTCCCAAATTCCTACCCAGGGACTCACTGCAGAGAAGTATGCAATATTATTGCACTTAAAAACACAGATTCTTAGGCCCCCTAGGACCAGAGGTTCTGATTCTGTATGTATGGGGTGGGCCCAGGGATCTGCATTTAAATGGGCTCCCCAGCTGATTCTGAAGCGCAATTCTGTTTGGGAAATCACTGGTCTGGAAGGTCTCCCGGGCATTTGCCCACTTGACATAGCACGATTCCAGGATTCCGAGAGGGCATTACAGGAGCTTGGATATCGACATCGGTTCTCAGGGCTGGTCCTTCCCAAAGCAGAGGTGTGAGCACTGGTCCTTGGAGAGCATCTGCCGCACAGAGCTCTTCTCCGCAGGGAGGACGAGGCAGCCTTTGAAGACTGGGGTCCGAGCTGGGCCCAGCCGGCTCACAGGGGGACTTCGCCGCCCTTTCCAAACCACCTGCTTCAGTGCTTGCGTGAGGACCAAAAGACGGGTTGGTAAAAAATAGTAGTAGGGTGGCCTCAGGGAGCTTATCTTTCAAATTGGGCTAGGCAGTTTAGAGGTTCTGTAGCAAGCCAGACCAGAAGGTTAAAATGCTTTTGTTCATTCATTAATTTGATTGTTCATTCTTCCAGTTATCAAATCTTAAATGCCTACTAAGTGCCAGGCGCTTTCTTTAGACAATGGAACACAATGTTAAAAAAAGAGAGAGAGACAAGGTCTCTGACCTCATAGAACTAACCTCCTGTGGGGGAGAGGGTGGAACAGATAATAAAGTAGGAACAAATAATAGGACAGAGGGTGGTCTTGCTAAGGAGGAAGGAAGCGATGAAGGAAAAGAGGGAGGAGGGAGGGAGAAAAAAGAGAAGGAGAAGGGAGGAAGGAGGAAGGAGGAGGAAGGAAGGAAGGAAGGAAGGAAGGAAGAAAGGAAGGAAGGAAGGAAGAAGAGATGGAAGGAAAAGAGATGACGAGGGGTAGGAAGGCCAGCAGGTGGAAGGAGGGAGGAGGAAAGGAAGATGAGGAGTGTGGGGTACAGAGCCATGAGGCAAGGCTGGCCACGTTAGATGGGCAGGGCAGAGAAGGCAAGCCATGGAGATACCTGGCACAGAGTAAGCCTTCAATAAATATTTGAATGAGTGACTGAAGGAAGGGGGAATGAATGAATGAATGAATGAATGAATGAGCAATGAATGAGGTCTTGACTTCCTGTGTAGATCTAGCCCCCCTGGGCAGCCACCTGTCCCTGCCCCTTCTATCCCCGCGTGGTTAGAGCCTTGCGAGGAAGACAGAAAGCGGACAGTGGGAAGCAGCCTGGGACGAGAGAAGCCGCTGTGCGTGAGCAGGGTGAAGGCAGCGACGGACGCCGCCCCAGCGCCTCCCACGCCCCGGGCTCCGCGCAGGGCTTCCGTCAGCCGCCCCAGTGGCTCTCGCACTGGATTTGGGTCCCCGAGTGGTGGCCGTAGACAAAGGCCTTCCTCTCTCTAGGCCTCCATCCCCTTATCTGATCATCTCGGACTTCTGGGTCTCCATGGGTTGATGTCCAAGACAAATAAGCTGGTTCCTGGGGCAGTGTGGACGGAATTGGGTGTCCTTGGAGGACAACGCCCCCAGCTGTTCCGGGCATGCCCACCTATGCTGGGCAGGATGGGCTCCTCGCACACCACGAACGGGGAGCTGGGCACCCTCCTGGTCCCAGCTTCAACCCCCGGACATGGCGGCTGTTCTGGGGGTGGGCAGGCAGGTGGGGGGATTAATGATTGTCCCGTGTTACTGGCCACCCATCACTGCTCTCTGAGAATGCTCTGAGCCCCAGCCAGGAAGGTTTGGGTGGGAAATTGAGGTTAACAATTGCTCCGCTTGGGGGTATCTTGTTGCCCTGCTAAGCCCCTGGGAAGGAACAGGCGGGATTAAACATTAATGCAGACTCTCCAGCAGAGGGGACCACGGCCAGAGTGAGGAGCGGCGAGAAGGAAGGGGCCGGCTGGCCAAGATCCCTGCGCTGTCACCTCTCCTGGCAGAGGGAGGAGCCACCGGGGACGGCCTGGGTCTGGCCCCTGAGCCAGGCTGAGGACCAGCCAAACCAGCGTTTGAACAGAATGTCCCCTGAGTGACAGTAACAGGTGTGCCAGGACAGTCTGGTCCCCAGAGGAGTGTAGGAAGCCCGGACAGCCACAAAGCTCAACAGCTGCCTGGACCGCACGGCTTGTCGGAAGCTGTCACACGCTGGCATGCGCCGCAGTGTCCTGTCTTGTGCAAAGGTGCAGGACAGGCAGGCGAAGGCACCAGGAGCTTCCTCCAAAGCTGGGGAGGTGGCCCCGTCCAGGTCCCCTGTCCTCGACAGGGAGAGTGCCTGCGGGGGTGCTCTGGGCAGGAGCTGTCATATGTGGTATGTCAGAAACTCATCTGTCCACAGACACATGCCACCCTCCCCCCAGCCCTGTCTTTTCTCCCGGGATATTTTCAGTATTCCAGAGAATGTCCTTCGGAAAACAAAACGCTGAGTTAGGCCATCTCAGTGGGGCAGAAGGAAGAAACTAACGTTTAGGGTGGCTGGCTTTGGGCTCCTCTATGTGGATTTGCACTTTTCAGACAGTAATGTCCTCAATCCTCCCAACAACGCTCTGCAGAGAATATTATAATTCCCACTTGACAGATAAGAAGAACTGAGGCTCAGAGAGAGGAAGTCATGTGTCCAGGATCACCCAGAGAACCAGTCTCAGAGCCACAGCTTAAGCCAAAATCTCCTGATCCCTGGCCCTCGGTCTCTGTCAACATCCGTCAGGAACGCCTGGACTTTGGAGCTTCCCTGTCTGGTTCTAATCCCGGCTGTCCTGGATCCTAGCTGTGCGACCTTGAGCAAGCTACTTAACCCCTCTGAGCCCCAGTTTCCTCACCCATAAGATGGGAATAATAAGAGCATCTACCCCAGAGGGTCGTTGGAGGGATTAAACGAGTTAATATTTGCAAAGTGATTTAGACAGCTCCGGGCACCTGTGAGCTCTATGTGTTTCGTTAAATGAAATCAAACTAGTCCAGGGCTAACTCCCAGGTGGGCTGGCAGGCCCCGGGCTGCGCAGTGGCCGCCACTGCCCGCCCCCGGGCCCCCTCACCTGGTCGTCCAGGGGCAGCTCGCAGAAAGCCGGGATGTACTTGGCCCACTCCACCAGCACCAGCAGCTGCTCCTTCATGGACTCGCACACGTCCGCGATGCTGGCGATCTTCTTCGCCCGGATGTCGCCGTTGAGCCCAGAGACGGGGGAGGTGATCTGCAGGAGGCAAGGACAGTGCTGGGGTGGCCGGGCCCTCCCGGTCTCTGTCCCGGCACAGAGCCCGTTCCTGGGCAGCCTCCCTCTGTGGGAAGGCGAGGGAGGGAGCTGGGCCGTGGGAACGTCAGGCTCTGAAGGAAGCTTGGGAAATGGGCAGGCAGGGGGCAGAGGGGCTTCCCCTGGGCCTCTTCTGCCAGCTCTCTGGAGCCCCAAGGAATCTCTCGGCCTCAGAAGAGAAGCAGGGCAGAAATCCTCCTCCTCTGACAGATGACGCAAGCACAGGCTCAGAGAGGGGCTGTGACTTGCCCAAGGTCACACAGCAGGGGCTGGCTGGGCCTGTTTGCCACTCCGTTTGCTCACCGGCCCACTACTCTGTTCTCTTGCGGCCGGGTGGTCTCAGGCCCTCAGTGAGAGCAAAGACTCTGCTTGGCCTGTGGGACGCAGGCAGCAGGATGAACTAGAAAGGGTGCCATCACGCCTGTAATCCTAGCTCTCTGGGAGGCCGAGGCGGGAGGATTGCTCGAGGTCGGGAGTTCGAAACCAGCCTGAGCAAGAGCTAGACCCCCGTCTCTACTAAAAATAGAAAGAAATTAATTGGCCAACTAATATATATAGAAAAAATTAGCCGGGCATGGTGGCGCATGCCTGTAGTCCTAGCTACTTGGGAGGCTGAGACAGGAGGATCGCTTGAGCTCAGGAGATTGAGGCTGCTGTGAGCTAGGCTGACGCCACGGCACTCACTCTAGCCTGGGCAACAAAGCGAGACTCTGTCTCCAAAAAAAAAAAAAAGATTAAAGATTAGAAAGGGCGCCAGAGAGCCGGACCTGGGTTCCGGTTCTGTCTTTGCTACTGAACCGGCTACGTGACACTGGGCTCAGCGTCCCTTCTGTGGTACCAGCTGCTCCAGGCCTGGCTGGGGAGGACAGAGGTGGAGGGGGTGAGCAGTGTGGGTCCCCCAGGCGACTGGGAGGGGCGCCCGGTACCTGCTGGGACAGGGCCTCCGCCTGCAGGAGCACGTTGATGGAGGGCAGGCTGCTGTCCTCGTAGCTGGACCTGCGCGTGCTGATCCGGTCCCGCTCATTTTGGACGGCTGTGAGGAGGCAGAGGGAAGTGAGCGGGGAGGACAAGGACGGGGTGAGGGGTCGGGGTGTCCGTGACCAGCGAGTGGATGAGGAGCAGAGCGGGGAGTTCAACCCAGACAGAGGCACTGCGGGGCTGTCCGGGAGGCATAGTCGGGGGTGGGAGCAGCTGGAGGGCGTCCTGAGGACAGAGCCCACATCAGCATGTGGGACCGAGGGGAGGTGGGGTCTCACTTAGCTCGTGGGAGAACTTTCCAGACACCAGAACTGCCCCCTGCACAATGGGGAGGCTGCAGGAGTGATCCACCCGTCACCAGGGGCATGCAAGACAGCGATGGCTGGGCAGAGGGCTTACCAGAGCTCTTGGGCAAGGGGGAGGGGATTTGACTAGATTTTCAAGCTCTGTTCTAGAAAAGGGTCCCTTTCTTTCCACATGGAAGAGGGTAAAGTAAATAAAACAAGTTGTTCTGGGTGGCGCAGAACCAGCCGGGGAGGGGTCCTGAGATGGGTCCGAGGCCCCACCTGCCCTGACGGTCTCGCGCACCAGCAGGATCGGGGTGTGCTCTGGACTGACCTTCTGAGAGCCAGCCAGGCTCTGTCTCCCCCCTGCCCCACTGAGGGCTCTCCCTGGGCACTCGGGGACCCAGGGCCTTGGCGCCCCAGGGCCCCACACCTCACACCACCCCCATCCAGTCAGTCCCAGCCTAAGATATAAGACAGTCCTTCCACGGTCCCGACCTCCCCAGGGAACAAGCCCTGCTGACACGGGAAGGAGGGGGGACGAGGCCACAGGAGACCAAGGCTCCTGGCCAGAATCTGCCGCCCTCTCTCTGCGTGCTGCTGGGAATGGCATCTTCTCCCTGGGCCTCAGTTTCCCCATCCTTAAGCTTTTCCCTCCCAGCCTGCTCCCTGCACTCTGGCCCATCTTGGGAACCGGCAGGTTGGTTCGTCCAGGCTCTCAGGTCAGAGCTTGGGTGGCATCCTCTGCTCCCCTTGCCCTCCCTTCCAGCTCAGCGCCCCACTCCCTCCCGGACTCTGGGCCTTTGCCGCTGCTGTTCCTGCTGCCTAGAATTCTCTTCCCGGGCTCAGTTGTTTCTTCCCCCCACTCGCGTCTCCATACAAGTGCCATCTTCCCAGACACCCGCCAAGGCCACCTCTGACAGGGCCGACCCCGACCCCGCTGCATTTGTCTTCAAGCCACTTATCATAGAATGATTTGTTAATTTCTCTACTGCTTGTCTTCCAAGAAGGAAAGCTCCAGAAAGCCAGAACTGCATCCCTCTTGTTCACTGCTGTAGCCATGGCAGCCAGGAGAGAACCTGGCCCCCAGTAGGTGCTCAGTAAGTACTTATTGGGTGAGTGAGAGAAGGCGATGGATGAGACCGGCCCTAATTCCAACAACCTCCCTATTTCTCCACGGAATGCCGCATCCCAGCTCTTCCGCTCTCCCTTGATGTTCACACATTGTTGGAATCCGAGAATAAAAGTCAGTCTACACCGAGCCCAGGGGTCCGTGGGATAGGACAGAGACCCTAGAGTGGGCGATCCTCTCTGAGAGCACCGAGGCCCTGCCTGGCGCCACCCATCCGACCTCGCCCCTCCCGCGCGGCCCTGCCAGCGCCCGCACCCACCCGGCGCCGAGCGGCCGGCGGGCGAATGAAAGGGCTGCTGTCAGCAGCTGCGGCTGGAGCTCCTCAAGGTTAGGCGGGCGTTATCAGTGCCCGGCGCGAGCTCAGTCACGGAATGATGTTTTCCAAATGTTTGCTCAGTATTAGCAGGGTCGGGGACCTAATGTAACTTCTATTGAATATTAACCGACCTGGGCAGAGGCGGAGAGGAGATGGGCCTGTCTTCAGAGAGCCTATAGGTGGGGGCCGGGACGGGGGGGCTGGCCAGGGTGTCCGAGGAAGGTGGCATCCGATGGCCCCTGGCCCATTAACAACCCTCACCTCCTGCAACCCCTGGTCCTGCTCTTTGGGCTGGGTCTCTGATGCCAGGAGCCAGATTTTTGTCCTGGGCCTGACAGCTCAGGCCTAGGCAGGTGTCTGCTGCCCTGACCTTGGCTTATAAGAAACAACCCGTGGCCTGCTGTTGGCACAGTGACTCCCATGTTTCTCCCTGGAGTCTCTGTCCCTCTAGGAAGCCCCTTTTAGCCACTGTGGGATAACCTCTGGCCAAGTTGTATAGGCCTATGAGATTGGAAGCCCTTCCCTCCGGTCCAGAGGATATCCGGGAACCCAGGCCAGAGAGTATACCTCCCACCTGCACTCCGGGGAGCCTGAGTTCTGGTCCCAGCTCCATCCCCAACACATCGCATCACCTCTCTGGCCTCAGTTTCCTCGTCTGTGGAGCAGGAGGGGATAGGTTTGATGATCTCTTATAGACCCAGCTGGTCTATACATCCTCAATTTCCAGCTCGTGGTTTCTGGTCCTCAAGGGACTAGGTTTCAGTCCCCCAATTCTCTTAAGGTCATCAAGAAAAGGAAATGAGAACTCGTCCCAACTCTCCTGATCGGTGAGACTCCACTGGGACTTGCTTTGGCTCTGGGAACTTCCCACCAGGCTAAGGACGGGTGTTGGGGTCTGGAAGACTCCGGTGGAGCTAGTAACACCCTAACTTCCCAGGCTAGGCGGCAGTGGCAGCTGAACACTTTGCCACCCAGTCGCTTCTTAAAGCAGCCAAGCGACTGCGTGTGGCATGATCTTCCAGTTAACCCAGGCACGTACATAAGCGCCAACGTTTACTAGCCCACTCGCACTTGCCACCAGCCAACTCTCCTGTCCTCCTGGCACAGTGTCGGTATCCCTGGGCTAAGAAGTCAATGTCTATTTGCAAGGCTGAATGGCCTGGGGCTCTCATTTCCCCTCCAGGAGCCTAGGCACGTGACCACCTGCTCGGGCGCCGCCGACCACTCTCCCCGCTGCCTGGGACCAGGCCTGAAATGCCACCACGAGAGACTCACTCTCTCCAACACGATGCTCCCTGGCCCCCGCCTCTGCACGACCGGCGCCTAAATACAACCTCAGGCTATTGGGATAATAGAATCGCTGACGACGATTAGAAGCACAAAATGTCAGACCCTGAGACTGCAGTGCTCAACCTTGCTCTTGTCTCCCGCTGCTCGTACACGCATCACATCCCCACTCATCAGTCTCTCCTCGCACGGGGCGGGAGTGACGGTGGTGAAGGAGGCTCAGCCCCACTGAGAGCTGGGGTGGGAGGGGCGGTGTTTGCAGGTGAAAGGAGCCCCGCCTCCACTTGCAGGACCACTGAGGCCTGGATGTTAGAACTGCGGTATTTAGAGCAGGAGGGGCTCTTGGGGACCGTCCTACTCCTTCATCGGGATCAGCCAGCCCGGATTTTCCAACATCGCTCATGAAACTAAGGCCCTGTAGGGTGGAGACACGGAAGATATTTCCAAGGGAAGGGGCAGGGAAAACAGGGGCTCAGAGGCAGGGACAGGGCCTGGGGCAGGTGCAGTCCCAGGTTCCTGCTCCTGGGGTGGTGTGTGTGTGTGTGTGTGTGTGTGTGTGTGTGTGTGTGCGCGCGGGACCAGACCAAGGGCTCGGCTGGTGCGGCCCAGCTGCCGGCTAGGCTGGGGGCTCGTCCCAGAGCTGGGGAAGGTGAGTCCAGAGGAGAAGGAGACGAAGAAATTTTGCAAAAGCAGTTAAAAGATTTTTGCTTCCCGTTCTTGGGCTGGAAACAATTTTCAGCCCAAGAAAGTTGACCCTGGGGTGCGGAGGGCGCGAAGCAGGCAGCGCCGAGGCGTCACCCCAGCGGCACAAAGCTCCGGGGCTCAGCCCTCAGGTCTTCCCACGGCTGGCTGGGGCGCCTCCGCGGGCCTCGGTTCCCTCAGCCACAACAAGGGGCACTGTGACCGTCCCAGCCACGTCCTGGGAAGCAGTGGAGCTACCACTCGTGGGAACAGCCCGGCCCGGGGCCTGCTGTCTGCGGCTGGCAGGAGGCCTGGCACGACCCTAATAGACGCTGTGCTCTGCTCTGTCATCCTCCCAAGCCAGGACCAGCCCGGGGCCTTGTTCCCATATCCGCAGGGGCACCTGTCCCTGGGACTGGAAGCTCAGGAATAGGGCGCCCCCCCGCTGTCACCTTTGTGATGCCCGGGTGTGGGGGGGGTACTTGGGTGTTTGCAATGTCCTTCTCTACACTTTTCCTGACGTTTGGAATCTCATATTAAGGAAAAAACACCCAATGTGGCTGCCTGGCGGTGGCGCAGGGGCAGTGGCGCGGGCAGGCAGGGGTGGTGGCTGCCGGGAGCCGGAGGAGCCGAGAGTGGCGCTTATCTCCGAATCTTTCTCAAGACCAAGCCCAGCCGCTCCCCATGGCCAGATCTCTAGGCCCTCCCTCCTCTCCGTCATTAGCCAGTCATCCCGGGGCCTGTCACAGAGTCATAAAGCGTGGCTACAGTTGTAAATGACTGTCCAGGCCGTGGGTGCAGGTGGCGGGTGGGGGGACCGGGTAGGGGAGGGCCGAGGCTCACCTTCCTTCTTCATGCCAGCCCGGAAGCACTTCTTGAGCCTGCAGTAGCGGCACTGGTTCCTCTTGTCCTTGTCCACCACGCACTGCCGGCTAAATCTGGGGAGGGCTTTGGATGGTTGGATGGGGAAGAAACAACTTCCCTCTCTTAGGACAGAACTGGGGCCCCCGGCCCTCAGGGAGACTCCCCAATCTCTGTGCTCTATCCCTTCATCCCCCGAGTTCTCCTGCCAATCGATCAGGAGCTGGAGAGGTCCTGTGGACTCCCCAGGTGTCCAATCCTGTCCTGCTAAACATGGGGAAACTGAGGCTCAGAGAGGCAATTTGTGGCCCTGGGTCACTCAGCTGGTTGGAGGGAGAGCGGAGTTGGGGACCTTAGCCCCTTGAGTGCCAGAGCAGGACGTGGAGGCAGCGGCACACAGTGCTTATGGGTGGGGCCCTGAGTGTCCACCTGGGTCCTGCCACGGAGTGACCTTGGGCAAATGCCCAGCCCTCCAAGCCACAGCTTCCTCATCTATAAAATGGGAGTAACAAGAGTGACCATCCCAGAGGAGTGTTGGCAGGTGAGATGAGGTCACGCACCGATGGGGCACGGCCTCTGCACGTGGCCATCGCTCACGACTGACAGCTGCTATGATCTCATTGCTCCTGCCCGGAATGGGATTGGAAAAGGGCTGCGCGCGGCCTTGGGAAGCCCGTATGTAGGTGGAAAGGCCTGCGGCCAATCCCCTAGTTGTCCCAGAAAAAGCACCAGGTTGGAGGATGGGCCCATCCTTTCAGGCTTCGGGGGAGGCGTGGTCCTAAGCCTCACGGATCCTCATTTGCTAAATGGGAAAAATAGCAACAGGCTCACGGGACGGTAAAACACATGCAGAGACGTAGGATGGCGCCTGGCACATGGCAGGTGCTCCTTAAAGGGCAGCCCACAGCTTTATGATCAGCAAATGCGGCTCCTAGAATGGATGCTGCCCCCAGATCCACAAAGCCTGAGAAAGCAGAAGAGCCTCGAAGCCCCTGACGGGCAGGTGCCTCAGGGACTCACTCAGGGAGAAGACAGACTCTGGGCATGTGAGCCCGAGTGCACCCATTTCCCAGCTGTGGAAGCCGAGGCCCCTTCCCGGGGTCCCCTCACCTGCAGGAGTACATGTGGTTCTTCCTCACGCTCCTCCGGAAGAAGCCCTTGCAGCCGTCACAGCTCGAGGCACCGTAGTGTTTGCCGGTGGCCCGGTCCCCGCAGATGGCGCACAGGGCGCTGACCCCCAGGCTGTTGGGCGCGTTGAGGTTGGCGCCTTCCGACGGGGACGTGTCTGCGGGAAGAGAAGGCAGTGAGGTCGCAGGTGGGGCAGAGAGTCAGACAGGAGTCAGAGAGGAGGCTTGTGGGGGATCCTTCCAGGGCTTTCGCCCCAGCCAGGCCCTCAGTGGCCTTGGGCAGGTCACTTGGCCTTTTGGAACTTCATCTGGAAACTGGGGATGGCGTGACACTGTCTGCAAGGCGTGGTTTGGGGGGGTCTGCTCGCCCCTGGGGTGGAGGCTACTGGCACCAGCTTTCTCGGGCCAGGAGTGAAGACCTGGCCACCACCTGAGGGGCCTGTGACCCCTGTAGCCTCCTCGCTGAGCAGAGGGGGCTGTGGAAGGGACAGATATTCCCCTGGCTTCTCCCGAGAGCCAGGTCCTGTCCCTCGTTTCTCACCGGGTGTCCAGGGCTGAGTGGATCTCAGCTTGGAGCCCGGGGGCCCTGCAGACTCTCTGGGGGACAGGGAGGACATGCGCCAAGAGCAGACAGTCACTCGCCCTCATAAGAAGGTCACGGCAAGGGTCACGGCAGCCTTGAACACCTCCTGGCCCAGAGGCAGGAGCTGCTGCATCATTATAAACGTGGGGACGGGGATCCTAGGTGGGTGGCAAAGGAGGCCTTGGGCCGGGCCCTAGTGGCGATGTGGCCACTAACTCTCCTGCGACTGCGGGTAAGTTCCTTTCCCTTGCTTCAATTGCCCCTGGGCCTCAGTTTCCCCGGCTGTAAAAGGAGCAGCAATTCAATTTGACTGGTCTGTTTTTTTTTCAAATTTTAAAAAAGTATCAGCGGCGGAACCCCCTTTCTTGTAAGCAAATCTTCCACCAGGGATAGACCCTTTGGAGAAGATGATAACCATGAACACTGCGGACCACGCCCCCAGGAAAGAACACGCATGTGCGCACCACACACACACACGTTTTCATAGACACCCTGAATCTGACCTTGGGGATTCAGGATGTCCCTTAAGGGGACACCCAGCCGAGAACTGGAGGGGCCATCGCGCTGTAGGTAAGAGCACAAACTCTGAAGCTCTTCTGCCCAGGTTCAAGTCCCAGCCTGCCCACTTCCCAGCTCTGTGGCGTTGGCTGTGTCTGTTTCCTTCTCCCTGCCATCGTTCGCTCACTTGTAAAATGGGGACACAGTAACCCCCTGGGGTTGTCATGAGGATTCAGGGAATCAATATGTGTGAAGCTCTCGGCATGTAGCGAGCACTACGTTGGCCCTTGTGAAATAACACTTTTCTGCAGGAGAAACCCTGGGAGCAGGGGACTGTCGGGCTCCGCGCGCAAGCAGACGTCGCCACATCTCATTTCTGCCATCGCCTGGCGGAACGTCCCGGACTCCCCGGACTCCCGCGTGTGCCCAGGAGTGCAGCCCCCTCCACTTGGTGAATTATTCCTGGAGACGGGGATAATTGTTAAGCCGTGTAGGTGCCCTTTCTCCCCCAGCCTCTCCTCCCCCAGCCCCAGGGAGAGCTGACCCCACAACTCCCGGCCACTCGGGGGGAGGCTGGGGAAGGAGCTCCCACCTCGTGGCCAGGACGGCATGGGTGTTGTCAGGTATATCATCTCCACAGCCCCCCCTGAGGCCAGCTCATCGCCCCCATTCTTTAGGGGAGCACAGTGAGGCTCAGAGAGGGCAAGCGACTTGCCCAGGTCTTCACAGTGCTGTTTGGCGGGGCAGCCAGATTTCTGGTCCAGGTGTGCTGGGCGACTCTGGCCAGTGCCCCACGTGTCGAGGTGTCTGCTGGGCCTTTAATCAGCAGGAGCCCCGGCTGCTGTTGCTGTGTCGGTGGGGGAGGGGCAGGGCGCTCTCCTTGCAGCGTTCAAGCCACCAGTCCGGGATGTACTCAAAACACTTTGGAGGACCACCTCACATCACCCCAACTCGCGCTCCTAGATCATGTGGGACTCCAGTGAGGAATGCTGGGGGCTCTTCTTACAGATGCTCAGAGGCCTTGGACCACCCCTGTGGGGGCCAGGGCCAGTCGCCAGGACTAAGCACTCAGGCATCTTATCTTATTCATCCTCTGGTTAGCCCTGGGAGGCAGGTACTATTATTTATCCCCATTTTGTAGATGAGGAAACTGAGGCTGAGAGAGGAAAATGGCTGGTTGTGTTCACACAGGTAGGGAGGACCTATGCCAGATCAGAGCTCAGATCTTTCTGGTTCCAGGGCTGGAGGCTGCCTTGTCCTTGGGACTCCCAGTCGAGGAGCTTGGCCCCCAGCTCAGGAACACATGACTCCTGGGCTCCGAAGGGGTAATGGGGCCGCCCCAGGGAGCAGCCCAGATCTGGGCAGCGGTCAGGACGGTGACAGCACCTTCTGTCCCTGTGGGGACACACGACATTCTGCCTGGGCAGCAGCAACTTGCTGGCCATTTCCGGTGTGTTTTCCCCTCAAACGCTTCACGCAATCCTCAGGCACTCCTAAAAGCCGGCTGGCCAGCAGGCCTGGGGCTGTGCAGCCCATTTTGTAGAGGACACAGATGGCAGGAGAGGGGAGGTGACATTCCCAAGGTCACACATCGAGGGGGCGGCAGGGCTGACGAGCACCTGGTGAGACTGACCATGGGCAGTACCTGGCGGCTCCCTCCCCCAGCCCTTTCCAGCTGTGCTGGCCACCAGCTACTGCAGGCAAGGGGACACACACATGTACGGAGAAGCTGCAAACATGGGCACGTGACAAAATGCCCACCCGGGATGCAGGGACAGAAAGCACGGGGCACACAAACATATGCACGTGCACAAACACACACGGTCGTGACCCACACACGCAGCACACGTGTGGAAACATCTACAGACAAATGCACACGCACACGCACGGTCACTTACATACATAAGCAAGACAAACACAGACGCCCGGTAGAGGCACAAACACGGGCCCACTCGGTGAACAAATACGAGTGGAAATAGACCCAGCCCATGTCCATGCAGATGCTTGAACGCAAAAATACACCGAATGTCTTCCCAAAGGCACACATTTGCCTGTACGTGCACTGCCTCACCTGCACACCTATGTGGGAACTCGCGAGAACACACACGAACACACACACGAACACACACACACACGCTGCTGAGTTGGCTTCTTACTTAGCAAACCTTCCCTGAAAACACCATTTTCTCTAAGCGCCAATTTCCCTAGGGAAGTCCCAAAGACATTCCGACATGCAGGCATGCCTCCAACCCCCGGCCCCAGGGACAGGATGTAGCTGTCCATCTCTGGACCTAGGCCCGAGGGGCTCAGGAAGAGGCTATGTTGGGCGGAATTACTGGAGCTGGACGCCAAGAGGGAGTTCGCCATCATGTCACTGCACCGGGCAGAGCAGCTTTGAAGCAACAGGGACCGGGAGGGCCTGGGGGGGAGACCTGGAGTCTACTTTTGCTGGAAGTTTGCCCTGTGAGCCTCCTCTCACTCAGAATGTCTCTGTCGCCGCACCCGGGCACATTCGCTTCACTTGGCGACACTTGTGCCCACCTATCGGACCAACCTACCATTCTCGATCATTCTCCTACCCCAAAGTTAAGTGCCAAAGATCCACTCCCACATATGGGCACACCTGCCCCCGCTGGCACACCTGGGCTCCCTGCCCCCACCTACCATTGCCCATCGTCAACACCTGCACATTCTCAAACTCCAGGGTGGTGTAGGCCGGGTCCAGCGCGGCACTGTAGTCAGCCATGTCCATGTCGACCAGGGTTTTGGAGAGGCGCATTCTCCCCTGCTCCGCACCTCGCCACCTGCCCTGCCCACGATGCCCACCAGGAAGGCTCTGGGCCGAGCCCCGGCCCCCGCCCCCGCCCTCCCACTGCCTCCTCCCAGGCGCCCGCTGTCTCTGCCTTCCTTCGCTTCAAACCGTCCTCTGGGAGGATCTGCGGAGTGTTGGCCTAGCCCCTGCGGAGGGGTGGAGGCTCTGCCGGGGAGGGGTGGAGGTTAATGGTTAATCGGGTCCCCCCCCCTTGCTGGTGGATGGCCTGGGCGGGGCCGCAGGATTTGGCTGTTTGTTGGTTTCTGGCTGACACTCGGGGTGCTAATTACAACTGTTGGGGCCCTAACTCACCAGTACTCAGTTATCAATTCTGCCAGGCAGCCACTGTAACTCCCTGGAGCTCATTTGACCCCTGACTCAGCCACCCCCCAGCCATTGTCCCCCCAAGCCGGGCATTCTACCTGATACGATCAGAGGCTGGCAGCCTACCTCCAACAGGCCCTAATTCAATGGCTTCCCAAATCATTGACTTCTACCCTCAATGCTCTTGCAGAGATAAAGCTGCCCCCTGGCCCATGACTTGGAAACCCAAATCCCAGGCCCCAGACCCATCTTTTGGTTCCTTGTTCTGGGAGCTTTCTTCCAGCTCTGGAGCTGTTGCCCATCTCAGGGGCGCAGAGTGGGTTGGAGGTTTGGGAGGGCCAGACTCGCCTCTAGGTCCCCTCCTCTGTTCCCTGTGATCCTACTATGGTCCCCAGCAGCCCTCACGGCCCCCAGCTGCTCTGGCCCAGACATTCTCCATCTCCGATCTCCCTGTCACATTCTCCTGTCGTCCCCCGCCCCCAGCCCCCACCCAGAACAGGCGGAGACGAGGTTTCCAGCCCCACAGACCTGGATTTACATTCAGGCGCCTACCACCCACTAATCGTGACTTCGGGTAAATGATTCTCTTCTCTGAGCCTCAGTTTCCTTCTCTGTGAAATGTACAACCAACCTCAAAGGGTGTTTTGAATAGCGATTTGCGATGGCATAAATGAAACGCCAAGCGGTGCCTGGCCAACGCCTACCCCTCCTCCGCCTCCCTCTCTGTTTTGTGTCCCCTTTTCTGTCTCCCTTGTTGTTTTCCATCCATCTCCTCCCTTTGGACCTTTGGAGCGGGCTTCATGGGTGCACCCCCTCCCCTGGTGCAGTCACATAGAGCCCCACGCTTAGAAAGCCCCGGGCTTGGTTCAATGCTCTGCTGTTGCTTCTTGAAATGCATCCTGGTTTTCCAACAAGGGGCGATGGTTTCCATCTCGGACTTG